CCCCAAAACCCCAAAACCCCAAAACCCCAAAACCCCAAATCAAAAGTCATCTATTGAAAGTTAAGGTTTCAATAGGTTACTTTTAAAATTGCTTGTGTCTCTACTGATCTCTGATCTGGATCTTCCTGATTCCCTTAGCGTTAGATACAGTTCTCTCCACTACGCTTTATCAGAATTTGCTTACCTTTAATAGGCTTGGGCCCTGTTGTATCTTCTAGAATATAAGCTAGCGAACTGTACCTTGTCTTCTTCTTTTAATATTCTGAATCATTTCACTACGGATATCTACAACTTTGAGTTGGTTTCCTTCTCTTCTTCTGATCACACTAGGCTGATAGGTTATGCTCCTAGGCTGCATCTTTTGACTATTCCTACTAATTTAGCTAAATTTTACGTTTCTTTTGAGTTATTTTTGCCCAAATTATTGAGCCTGGAATTCTTCATGACTGATCCATCACGCACATTTGTGAGATCTATGGTACACATGAGGGCTTACCTTGATTCTTGGTGATTCTTTTCGGCCTATAACTAGACTTGACACCTCTCGCACGGAGATTTGACTTCCACCTCTGCTCTCGTTTTCCAGAAGGGATGTATTCCTCTGAAATCTGTTTGGAGAAGTCTAATGTTGATGAGTAGAAATACCATTGTTGGTTTCTTTCAGTTTAATCTTTGACTCATTAAGTGTCTCTCCCTTTTGAGCTCTGATGTCTACATAAGGAGAGTTCATTTCACGGTTCTCCCCTCCGCCTCGCTTGACAGACTTGAAATTCTTATCTCTTTTGAGATATGCCCTGACTGGCTTAATCTTATTTGAGTCGATTTTGGCTATAAATAAGACAAAGAACCTACAGACTCTTAACTTCTGGAGCATTCCTTTAGCTTTATTGACATTTATCCCTTTGAATTTGATCTTTCCAGTTGCAAAGCTTCTAGCGTAGCCTTTATTGCTATTTCCCTGAATAAGTTAGTAGATGTTCTACCTGAGATGTAGAGGGCTTAGGCCGTTCCTTAAGTGGAGTTATCTCCTGAGCATCATTCTCTTTATTCTCTAAAGGTTTATAGGTTATTTTACCTTCATTATTAGACTTCTCATTTCCGCTCTCTTGCGACTTGTTATCTCTGGACTTTCTTATAGCCATGAAAGAAGGCTATAAATGAGAGAATTCTCTTACAGCAGCTTGCCTGGAATTAAAATAAGGCTTAAGCTTATTCATCATATCAGGCATTTTATTTAGAATTGAGCTTATTTACAAGCAATCATTTTTCTGAGCCTAATAGTTGAACTATCTCTTCCTTCTCTATCTTCAGTAGAATTTCGGAACTGGTGGGACTCCCCATCATCTAGATTCATATCTAAAATAAAAGTTTTAGAGCTTACTTGACGAGTGCTCTAGTGAAGAATTTTTGAATATAACTCTTCGAACAAACTTTTCATTATCAGAGTTCTTTGGTCGGATGACTTTGTTCTACTAATTATGGCAGAAGTATACATGTCGGCTGATTCCATATTGCAAATTTGTGTACTTATCATATCCTGATTTATTCATTGGCTTCTCCTTATTCATATCATTGGTGTATTTAGGGCCTATAGTCAGCAAACACTTTACCAAAGTTCATGATAACCTCTGAACTATTAGTCCCATTGTAGGAGGAGCTATGGTTAGAAGGAAAGGTACTCTTTTCGGATAGGCATCATTTCGTTACGTGCCTTGCTATGCCTCTTTGACATATTAGTTGTCTTCGCTCTGATTTTCATTACCTTGACCTAAGATTATGTCATAAGGCTACCTTATTGCCTTTATCCATTTTCGATTTTCAAATTTGTATATATTTTTTGGGGTTTTGGGGTTTTGGGGTTTTGGGGTTTTGGGG